GAAATGTTACAGAGGTATTATTGTATATATACACTACAAAGTTGTTATAAGGTAGTGTTAAACTTGTGATATTCTTCACAGTAGCCACATGTTAGCTACAGGTTAAGACAATTGCAGTCAGAGTCAGTGAGGAAACTACTTATGGCCTAAGGTCTCCAAAATTCATCCAATAACCCTCTATTATGGAGTATTTCTATAATGTATATGACATGGTCCCTAAATTTTTCCAAAATTCTTTTGGTTTTCCTATATTTCAGTAGTATTTTTACAGTGTATATGGGATGACTATTCACATATTAATATTATATAATAGCATCAGTGTGTACTTTGGCACCAAATATATATATATATATATATAATATGTAAAAGCATTTTTTTTTCAAATATAAAAATCATTGAGGTATTTTTTTTTTTCATTCATAGAAGTATTTTTTTTTAAATAAAGCAGCTACTGTGAAAATAATATAACAAAAATGAGGATCAAGGTAAGTTGTAGTTTCCTAATCAATTAGCTGAGCTACCTAAGCAATGCAGCTCTCCTCCAAGGAGCCTACTTCTTTACCGCTCCATTTCCCAAATGACCCTTTGGATGTTGTCATTTGTGGCAGATTATACTCCAATGGGTGTGAATGATCTGAACATCACTTTGGATAAAGTTATGCCAATGAACCTTATGTAGTAATGCCATTTTATTAAGATATTCTTACCCATTTGGGTTCACCGAGTAAGTTCAAACCAAATCTAACCGGCCTTATCAGATTGTTTTTGGGTAGCATTTGCCACTATATAAGATCAATTATCACAGTTTCATGTGGTTACCACCCAATTTTGGGTAGCTTTTGTCAATTTTGAATTTGCTGAGTGATGCAGAGTGCATAAAACTGTTATGACCCTACCACTATTATATATATTTCAAAAAAATTCATAAGTTTGCAAGCTTTGAAGAAGGGATTTCCTTTTAAGATGGATTTATTTTTCTGCAGGTTGTTGAGTTTGCCCTGGCTTTGCAGAAAGCTGGGTGCTTTTTAGTTGTTCTGAAATGTGTGCTTGCACCTGTTGCTGCTGCTGCTGCAACATCTGCTCTTCGAATCCCTACAATTGGTATTAGGACAAGGTCTTTCTGTATTGGCCAAGTTAATTGATTCTTTAGCTCTCTCTACTACTCCTAATAATGAATTAGACTTGACTGGCTTGTGTTGTGCATAATCTTTTTGCTTTCATTTGTATATATAATTAGCTATCTGATCTTGTAATTTGCTTTTCAAGTACTAAAGTGGGCATTTTAGCGATATCATGTGTTCATATATTGAGTTTACTCATGTAATGAACTTTGAATTTGTTTTTCCTTTTAATTTGTTTTTCATATAACAGCATTTGTGTGCATGTCATGAAAGAGTTTTTACGACATGCATTGCAAGCCGTAAAAATTCAATTTTGTTGTAGTGAGAACTTGCTCCGAAGAATGTGGAATCCAAGGCTATGGATGACAGTGCAATAAAAAAAGGTTAGCATGCTTAACTCATGCTATTTTGCTAAGTTAATTGACTGACTTTGAAAGCTATGCAAAGTTTCATTCTCTTTTGGTTATGAAACTCCATAGATGGTGTCATTGAAACCTGTCTTCCACTTCATTTATAGAAATATGAATTGTACTCTAAGCTGAAATTATGCACTATACCTCGTAGTTTTTATTAATCAGTTCTATGACGCTGAATTATGGGTAGTATGCGTATTCCAAAAAGTTATCCTAATATCCTATTGTTGTTTATTTGATAACGTGTTTCTTTTGCTTTTTCTCTTTAAAATGATCTGTGCTAGTCAACTCTTTTTCTGATGCCTTTCCAGCAAAGTTATGCGTTTCTAAATTGTGATATTTTACTTCAGAATGTGTGAATTTGATTTGTTATTTGTTAACTTATCTATATTGTCCTTATCTTATTCCTATAGGTACAATGTTTTAGTTCTTTGATTTGAGTTAGGAATAGATTCTTAAACAATATGATGTTGGAGATGCAGGTGTAACTCTTGAAGATCCTCACACTGAAGATCTCAGCCAAGAAGTTAAGGGCTTCATATTCTCTGGAATTCTGGTTCGTTTATGAAAGTCATATTTGCCTCAATTGCAATTCCATTTCAAAATACTTTTGGTCACTTCTATAGCTGCATTAATTGTTGATCTTTCTCTCTATACATGATCTAGATATATTTAGTAGATGTTGAATGTTTACCGGAGACCATTATAATCTTTTATTTTCTGGATGGAGAATCTTTTTTGGCTGAAAACTCAAGTTTGAAAAATGTTTTCAAGCAATCATGAGTGGACTTTTCTTCATTTTGTAACAGTCTATCACATATAGGAAAATAAAGTTCTGCTTGGCTACTAACTATAAGCAATTGGACTATTAACACTTTTTGACAAATACTTTATTGATTACTATTATTATTTTTATTGTTATATTTAGTAAGACGAGAAAATTGATTATCACTAATACATAGGATATAGTTACAGCATGGAAATGAACTTTTTTCAATAAACCTTAAATGTTGTACGTATCATTTTTTGATTTTCAATGAATCACAAATCTGAAACTGAAAATAGAAGTAATATAATTAGCTACGGAGAATGATTAGAAAATATGAACAATAATATGTGACACAAGTTTTTTTGGTGACATTTAAAATCTGCCAGCATTTTATGACTGCCTTTACTTGAGTCTTGAAAATTCCTTCTTAGAACCTTGATTGTACTAGCAACATTATTTTTTTGGGTATTTTTGCTAGGTAGTGTTGGAGTTGCTCTAAGTTAGTAATATGATTAATAGGAGCTTGCCATGTACAAAGGAACTTCTGGTTGTCAAGCTAGACTCATTGTGTACATAATTTGTATTGTCATGGATAGAGTGGTCTATACAGTGTAACTGATAATATGTTAATGTTTTTCTTGTTAATTTTCTTTGTAGATTGGTTTTTGATGACGTTTGGAAGCATACTTGCAAATCAAGATCAAGTGTTGAATTTATTTATTTATTTATTTATTTATGGAATTGATACTTAGTTGTAGTTGCAAATCAAGATTGAGTGTTGATTTTTTTTTGTGGACTCCACGTTAGTTCATTTTGGGATTTGCTTTGATGGTTTTTTTGTTATACTTAATGGATTATTATTAAAGTTGTTTGATGGATATATTTTGATTTATAATATAAATTGTTTAGTGAATTTTTTTGTGGAGTGGTGTATAATAGTTAGTGGAATTCTTAATACATTTAAAAGGATATTGGGATATAAGCAGGGATATTTGTAAAATAATAATTTAAATTGAAATATAAAATATGGAACAAATTTAGTGACGAATTTGTTTCGTCATTTGTATTTGTTATTATGACAAAGTGATTATTTGTCGCTAATAAATATTTTTTGTGACAAAATTTATTACAGATTATATATGAAAGTTTTCATTGATTTTGTTGTTTGGTGACTAAAAATTTCATCACGTATATAAATATTTGCCACGAAATATATTTCGTCACCCATTTGACTTTTGGAGATGAAAAATTTGGTCAATTTTACATCTTATTGTGATGAAATTATTTTTCTCATCAATGATTAACATGTGTGACGGATTTATTTGTCAACTAAAATTATAAATATAGTATTGAATAACTATTTGGTGACGAAAATGAGAATTTTTTGCGACAAAATGTTGTTTTATTGGTGACAAAAAAATTCGTCACTAAAGAAATTTCATTGGTAACGAAATTAGTTGTCGTCACGGTGGTTTTTAGTGATAAACATTCAATGACGAAACTAGTGAGGAAAATATTTCATCACAAATATCTATAGTGATGAAATTAGCTCTTTGGAGACAAAAAAAATTCGTCATTCAAGACCCAACTTGTTGTAGTGCAGAACAAAGAAATAGGCCAATTAATCAAATAAGGCCTCAAAATATGCAGGATCATGCCATACAATAACCATACTATGTGTAGACATCCCATTTTGACCGGCTCTAAGATTTGGACACTTTCTTTTGAACACCCTATGATGACAATTGGAATATGTCATTTTATGAATTTCTCAGCAGAAAAATCAGATTGAAGCTTTAATCTCAAGCCTCACTCATTTTGGCCAAATTATTAATTTATAGTATTTTATAATTTCATGTGTGTACATATTTTTAGGTGCTTTTATCAAAACTAAAAACAAAATTATTAATTTATAGTATTTTATAATTTCATGTGTGTACATATTTTTAGGTGCTTTTATCAAAACCAAAAACAAAACAAAAAAAAAAAAATGGTATGGTTAGGGTATTTTTTGGGAGAAGTTAAAGAAGTTTTGGGGTAGTCAGGTGAGATGATGATGTTTTTTTGGTGGAAGATAGGTGATTATGTGTTTTGTGCTGGGGTAGAAGGAATAAAGAAAAAGATGGCAAAAAAAAGAAAGGCAGGGGTGAACATGGTGTATGGTCAGCATGATGATGATATCTTTGGTGGGAGAGAATACAATGATAAAAGGGAGGATAATGGATTTTGGGTGGGCATAATAATGATTTTTTTGAAAAAAAGAGAATGCTGGGTTGGTGGCACATAAATGGGATTGATAGTTTATTATTGTTTTAATGGTGGGATAGAATATATTCCTGCAACAGGTTTGGCATGGGGATGATCAACGATTACCCATTTTACACAATAAAAAAATTCCATGTAAACCCAGACAACGCGAGAGAGAGATACGGGAGGGAGAGAAAAGGTGGTAAATAAAAAGTAGTTTGGAGAGGTGGATAGACCCACAAAACAAAAAAAGAAAAAAAATAGACAGACACATGGAACACACTCACTGAGAAGGCACATGAGGGGGAATTGTTTTTGTTTTAAAAAGAAAAAAAAAGGCACATGCATGGGGCCCGAAAACCTCTCTTCTCGGCAATCAGACACATACACAGGGACAGACACACACACAGGCAGTCTCCCTCTCTTTTCCTTTTGAGGTGGCCATGATAAACAAAAATGGTAAATAGGGATCTATTGTGCTAAATTGTGGGAGAGAGGACAGGCTGGATCTGAAAAAAAAGAAAAGACACTCTCTCTAGTTACTCTTTAGGATTTTGAGCACTCCTCTCCGAAGAATTTCTTCAAATCGACGAGACTTGAAAGATAATCTTTACAATGGCAATAGATCGAAGTTTCCGTGAAGGTGTTTAATCACGTAGAAGAATACAATTTGGAAGAGGAAAAACAGAGAGAAAATTCAAGTAAGTAAAGAACCCATGTTCTGTCCATATATTTGTAGTATATATCGTGGCTGTTAACGAATGGTTACAACTTATCAGAAATTCAAACTCAATGATCACCATGTTTCTAAACCATTGTGACTCTTTATTCAAATCTTAAACTTCCTACTTCCCGTAACTTCTTCCTGCGGGAAGATTGAATCACCATATAAGGATTTGATTTGGTGTGAGAGGCTCCACCATATTATGGTGTGATCACCTCTCATACTTTCATCTCCCACTTGATCACATTATAATATTGGTGATAAAGCCTGAGTTTGGCATGTTTACCTTGGTACCAAAAGTTTGCCTCATGCCACTTTCATCTATGAAATTACCTCATGGATCGACGTCTGATTGTGACTTGGCCATACGTGTGCATGTTTTTGCCACCAATCTGACCGCACCCGTACGAATGTGTTCTTCCACTGACAACACGCTCTAGATGACTTCAATTCACTATATTTCAAGTGAACGGCATCAATTTTCAGTGATGGGTTCATAGTCCATACCCAATCACCATTGACGACTTCAGCCGTACACATTTTTCATGTATTGACCTGCACTGAAATTATTGTTAAGTACTTCCTTTAAGACCTATTCTTGAAGGTTTTCCTTAACACACCTTATCAATGACTTTTTGCTGATCAAGCAGACAATATCATCTAGTTAGCACGTATATTATGGACTTTACATCTCATGCTAACTATGATATCCATACCTTGTCAGTTCCTATATCTTGTTACCTGACCAAACACGTGTTTCCATGCAAGATAGATTCGCAAAACATTGGTTATCTAGGCGTCCCCAGAGTCATCCGACTATGCTCTTATATAAGTAGCTAAACCACCTAGCTAGGCATTTTTCAATCCCATATTAGCTACATGTTCTCTGAATTTTTCCAGAGACAACCCTTTGGTCATAGGGTCAGCCACCATCTCTTCTGAGGATATATAGTTGACTTTAATTTCACCTCTCTCCACTATGTCCTGAATATAGTGGTAACTTACATCAATATGTTTTCCCTTAGAGCTATTTGCTCCACTTTTTATTAATGAGATAGCGGACTGATTGTCACAAAACATATTGACCGGTCTGATAGGTATACCTAATTGTAAACTGTCAACAAATCATTTTATCCAGACCGCATTACTAACGGCTGTGCTGCAAGCTATGTATTCAGCTTCCATAGTGTATTTTGCAACACAACTCTGTTTCTTACTTAACCAAGCAACTGCTGTACCACCAAACAAGAACACATGACCATTAGTAGATTTTCTATCATCTACATCTCGTGCAAAATCCGCGTCAGTGTATCCTTTTATGTTTAGATCACACAAACCAAAACATAACTTCAAATTTTTAGTGCCTTTTAAATATCTGAATATTCTTTTGATTGCTTGCCAATGTTCCTTACCTGGATTGGATTGAAACCGACTTACCAATTCGACTGCATGACAGATGTCAGGTCTTATGCTTGTCATAGCATACATTAGGTTGCCTACTGCCTGAGCATACGAGACATTTCTCATTTCCTTAATGTCAGACTTAGTTTGAAGACTCATACTTTTACTAAGACTTTGTCCCTTGCAAACAGGCGTACTTAAAAAATTACAGTTATCCATATTAAATCTTTTGAGCACCTTGTCTAGATATTTCTCTTGATCTAGATATAATAATTTTGAATTTCTATCTCTTGAAATTCTAATTCCTAGAACATAGGTTGCAAGACCCATGTTTTTCATTTCAAATCTAGATGCCAAGAAAGTTTTGGTTTTTATAATCATATCTGGACAATTTCCTGCTAACAATATATCATCCACGTATAAAGATAATATTGCTAACTTGTCATCATTTTTCTAGATATTAACACAGTGATCTAATGGACTCACGACATAGCCTATTTCTAAAATGGCTTGGTGGAATTTCAAGTACCATTGTCTTAAAGATTGTTTAAATCCATATAGAGATTTCTTCAACTTGTAGACTTTATCCTCGTTGCCTTGGTTTTGGAAACCATCAGGTTGAATTATATAAATTTTCTCTTTTAATTCTCCATTGAGAAAAGCAGTTTTAACATCTAATTGATGCAATTCTAAATCCATCCTGGCTACTACCGCCATTAGAATCCTTATAGACAAATTTTGCAACAAGAGAATATGTATCTACGAAGTCTATTCCAGGTTGTTGAGTGAATCCCTTGGCTACTAACCTGGCCTTGTATTTCTCCAAACTTTCATCTACTTTGAATTTCTTTCTAAGAACCCATTTGCAACCAATAGCTTTTCTTCCATTCGGGAGATCGGTTAATTTCCAAACATCAATTTTCTTGATTGAGTCAAGTTCTTCATTCATTGCCTCAAGCCATTGAGTAGCATCACTGCTACTCATTGCTTCATTATAAGTAGTAGGATCATCTACTAAGTTATTAAGTTCTTCAACTTGAAAAACATAATGATCTTTCAAAAACGTAGATGGACGTCTTGCTCTCTTACTCCCATTTATCTCAGGATTCGAAGCAGGTAAAACAACGTCATATAATTTGCATTTGCTTCCACTATTAGATGGTTCGAGAAGAATATGTGGACTGTGTGACAAAGAAAAAAGAGAAGAATCCTGAGATACTTCAGAGAGCAATTCAATTTGTTCAATAGGAGTAACAAGATCAGTGGATTCAAGAAAAATAGCATCTCTACTTTATATTAATCCACGTTTGGGATGGTAAAAACGATAACCACTCCCATTTTTGACATAACCAATAAACTTGCATTCCCAAGTTTTGCTTCCCAATTTATCCCTTAAACGTTTGGGAATAAGTACATGTGCCTTACATCCCTAAACTTTGAGATTTTGAACATTAAGTTTAGTTCCATGCCAGTATTCGTAAGGAGTTAGAGGTTTGGCTTTAGTTTCGATTCTATTTAATATGTACGCAGCGGTGGACAAGGCTTCCTCCAAAAAATGAATAGGAAGATCACTATGAGCCATCATAGACCTTGTCATTTCCATGAGAGTACGATTTCGTCTTTTTGCGACCCCATTTTGTTGTGGTGTGTATGGCATTGTAAACAAATATTTTATGCCATTGTCCTTACAGAAATAATCCATAGCTTCATATTCGCCACTTCTATCATTATTCAAGTGTTTAATGGACCGACCAAGTTGCTTTTCCACCTCTAATTTATATTCCTTAAACTTGTCAATTGTTTCTGATTTGTGTTTAAGAAGGTAGATATGTCCATATCTTGAATAATCATCAGTGAAAGTAATAAACTATTCCATGCCTCGATGAGTTTTAGTTCTTAAAGGGCCACAAATGTCCGAATGCAATCCTTATATTGTGATTCAATCTTCCCGCAGGAAGAAGTTGCTGGAAGTAGGAAGTTTAAGATTTGAATGAAGAGTCATAATGGTTTAGAAACATGGTGATCATTAAGTTTGAATTTTTGATAAGTTGTAACCATTGCTTAACAGCCACCATATACTATAAATATATGGACAGAACATGGGTTCTTTACTTACTTGAATTTTCTCTCTATTTTTCCTCTTCTAGATTGTATTCTTCTATGTGATTAAACACCCTCACGAGAACTTCGATCCATTGCCATTGTAAAGATTATCTTTTAGTGATCGAGATCAAAACATGGCATCTTGACCATCTCTGCCATATCCATCGAACTGGTTCTTTTACAACAACTCTCTCTCTCTCTCACCCAATGCCGTCGAACTCGCTGCTGTCGCACCACCGTCACTAGAACCACCGCTTCCTTCCCTCATTGATGGGCAGTGTCCTCGTCTCCAACTTCCTACGGTTCTGAAAGAAGGGCAGTAGCTCCTTTGCGCCAACTCTTGAAGTCGGTTCTTGTATGTCTCCGAATGAAGGATTAAGTTGGGGTTTGGCAAGAAAAGACACGAAGCTTAAGACTAAGAGAGAGGCCTCTCCTCTTCCATTTTTGCCCTAACAGTTTCTATTTCTTCCATGGCTTACATGATTGTGTTTTGATATATATATATATATTTATGTAAGAAGAAACTTTTTGTGTCTTCACGAATCAAAAGCACCAAATGTTCTAAACAGAGACAAAAACAAAAGAGCAACACACCAATGGCCAAAATTCACATTCATAGCAGACCATAACTTGTTTTGTCTTTCACACCAAACCCCATCATCGTCATCATCATCTCATACCTCTATCTTTAACAATTCTTCTTACACTTTAGAGCCATCATCACATTTGTTATCCCAGGCACTTTTATAGCTTTTATTGTTACAGGTGTTTTGGTTTACCTTGGTGGTTTGATGTATCTCATGTACAGACTTCCATTTGATGAATGCCTCATGTTTGGTGCTCTTATATCAGCTACGGATCCTGTCACTATTTTGTCTATATTTCAGGCTAAGAGGGTGCATCAGATGTAGATCTCCGTATCCTCCCAACATACAAACTCCAAATCTCTGGCTGTGAAGAAAAGCCTGATGTTGGAAGAGATAGAATGGTTCTTGTTGAAACAAGTAGTGGATACTTGACTAATGAACGAATTCTTTTACCTGAGGATGCAGTCTACTGGATTGAAGACAAAAGGTTATTTGCTAGTTGATGAATGGTCGGGGGTTTAAAACTTTTATTTTTATTTTGAGTGTTTGTGAGGATTCTATTTTATTCATTTCCCTTGGATCTGTAATATTTAAAATGTTATAATAATCTCCCATCCTCGCTTCTTTTTATCCCATTCTTTAATCGTTTTCTATACCTGTACATATGTATCTGACATGCCATGCATATCCATGCTTTGCATCCATGTTTCATGCATTAAGATTCGGCTAAATTTGCATTTGTGGATTCAATCAATTCTTATGTGATTCTATGCGTTACCTCATGTTCTTGAGATGATTCACGTGCCATATTTTAAAAGCCGAATCTTTAGTTGCATCTCATGAGTGAATTGCATTAGGATTCTGTATATAGGATCATGTATATTTTACTAAATTTTGTTTTGTAGCTGTTTGCGGGAAGTCGGTAAATATGTGAGTTTTTATGCTTTAACATCCCACTTGTCCATAATTTTCTTATTATGTTTAGCATCCTACCATGAGGCTAATTGATTAAATGCTATAACTGTTTGAATGCCTGTGGATGAAGGCTTGTTACTTGAATTGGGATGATTCACCGATTATACGTTTTAAGCCCACTTTGTAGTGGAAAATTTACAAGTTTTAAGCTCACTTTGTTAAGTGGCAAATTCAATCCCTTTTCAAAAAACGAACTTGAAATCGAATTGTTCCAATTTGAGCAAACTAGTCTATGCCTTGTATGCTTCATATTATAAATTTGAGGATTTACTAAATAATCAGAACATGAACATACAAGAAAATAAAATTCATATCATGGTTGAGTAGAAGCCGATCTTTTGATCGGGTGAGCAGGAGTGCTCAATTAATGACCTTCCCCTTTTATACCTAAGGTTCTGAGCCAAGCATCATTGGTTACGACGAACAGTTGCCTTGGCACGAGTCACGGGTTTCCTAATTTTTTCAAAATAAATATTAGGTGGCGACTCTGAGATCTGATGATGCAGTCTATTTTTGACAAAATTGCAATAAAATGGATTTTCAATAGAAGTTGCCAAATTTGGACTGTCATCTATGTTTCACATTGCGCTACTGAGACTAGATCAAAGAGATCGAGGGTCCGAACTGTTTAACGCGCATGGGTACCCCTCGGGCATGTTACACTATGAACCCAACGTGATGAACCTAAGGCCTAGAAGGCTTGGTCCCCATTTTCCTTACTTCCAACTAGAAGTCCAAAGAGGGGGACAACAACAACAATACTTAGATCCTCAGGTTAATAATAGGCAGCAAATAATAAACTTGATTCAAGAAATGTATGGCCCAGGCTTGAGGAGGCCAGAAAAACCTATGTTTAGGAGTCCATATCCTCCAGATGTGGATAATATGCCTTTGCCAAGGAATTTTTGGGTGCCTGAATTATCTCTGTTTACAAGAGAAAAGAGGCAGTCCACCATTGAACATATAGGGAGATTTATGTTGCAGTGTGGAGAAGGAGGACAAAATGATCTTTTCAAAATGAAATTATTCCCTAATTCATTGTTTAAGACTACATTCACTTGGTTCATCAACTTGCCAGAAAATTCTGTGCATACTTGGCAAGAGATGGAGAGTCAATTTCATGCTCAATTCTTTAGAACTGAGCCTGAAGTTACCTTAGTAGATCTGTCGAATTCAAACAGGAGTAAGGAGAGACTGTAAAATAACATATCAACAGGTTTAAGAGAGCAAAAAAACAAATGTTATGCATACATTCCTGAGATAGAAGTTATAAGATTAGCTTAAAATGGTTTAGATTTCAAGCTGTGAAAGAAATTTGAAGGAATGATGTTAGAGATTTATATGAATTGTCTTCTAGAACAACTAGTTATAAGTCAATCCTTAGAGAAGAACAACAGAGGAAGGCAACCTCATTTGGTACTTATTACCAAGAAGTTGGTTGTGATACTGATATAGACATTGATGTAGCACAAATTATTGGCAAGAAACCTATAGTATGTAAGACTTTAAAAAAGGTAGAAAACCTATGGACATGCCATCAACACAGCCAGCAAAAAGGAATGTGACTACATCTAGTAGATAGTATTCATTTGATTTATCATAAGCAGATGCTTTGTTTGATGAGTTAATGGCCAACAGATTTTTAGCCCTCCTAGCCATAATATACCTAAGAGAGATATAGAATTGGAAAAGAATATTGCAAATGGCATAATTCTTTTAGGCATTCTACTAACAATTGTGTCACATTTCGAAATTGTGTGTAGGATCTGATTCAAAAAAGAATGTTGAAGTATGCTGAGAAAAACAAAGATGTTATGACAGTTGACAATGATCCTTTTCCAGAGGTGGTAGGTATTAATATGGTAGCAACTAGCCTCCAATCGACTGACCAGAAAAAGGGAAAGAATCCTAGAGTTCTCCTAGTAGAACTGAAGAGATTGCGCAAAGAAAGAATGGAAAAGGCTGCCAAATAAGCAAAAGGGAAAAAAGTTCAAGAGGAGCCTAAAGAAAGGTTCATCTGCTTTAGATGTGGTACTAAAAAAGAAAAAGCAAATGCCATTGTGATAGATGAACTTCAAAAGATTGGAAGTAATGTTGGCCTTAGGTTCAATACTATGGGAAGTGGTGATCTACAGATATTTGATAACAGCTGTTTGTTTTATGACAGGTCATATCTAGGAATATTTGGCCTTGCAGAGAATTATGGGGAGAATGAGGCTCCATTTTTGTTTCAAGGAGCTTCTGTCCATCCATGTTTCAGTGGATCAAGTAATATTAAAGCCATGCTAAAACAGTAGAAAGGTGCTAAACCATATAGAACTCCAAAGGTATTGACAAGGCTATACAATGGCCAGCAACAACATTTTGTGAAGCCTCATAATGGCCAACAATAGATTGGAAGGCCATATGGGGGACAACAACAGTTTGTAAGGCTATTTTGAGGGTCTCAATAGCAGCATCATGGCCCAAGAGTGAGGCCAGATATGCAACTAGTCCAACCCAGAATGATGAAGCCTCCAGTGCCACCTAACTTAGGATGGCAAGGGGTAGTTCACCCAAAATTTCCTATGGTTGGCTGGAGACCTATGGGAGAGACAAGGACTCAAAAAAGAAGAGAACAGAGGAAGTTCCTTGCCATGATGTCCAAAGATGTAGGAGATAAAAGAATTAGAAGGCTAGATTTAGCGTAGACTAGAGATGGTTTGATTCCTGCTTCTTCAGTTAGGGAAATGAAGGGGTCAACTTTAACTTCTCAAGCTCATCTAGTGCAGCCAATTCATATTTTAAAGAGGAAAATGGAGCCAGAAAAAGTAGCTGACAAGCTTGCTGAGAAACTTTCTGAAAAAACTTTGTTAAGACAGAAATTGAAAAAGTTAGAAAAGGAATTGATGTCTGATGAAGATGACAAGAATAGGGAAGATGTCTCAATGCAAGAGATCCAAAGCCAAGAATTGGCCATGGATAATGTGGTACATTTGGGTGAGGAAGCTAAAAAGGAAGAAGCCAAGTCAGATAGTTCTAGTGGTGACTTTGGGAAGAAGTTGGCTACTATCCAATTTGGTTCTTTGCCTGGTCCAAAAGAATGTAATATGATTATGGCTATTCCAAAGAAGTTTCAGGCCAAGGCGGACCAGCCAAACATGTTGGCATGGGATGTAGAAGACTAGACAGAGCAAGTTGTGGAAATAACAATGACTAAGGCAGATATTATGCCACTAAGGTCCATAGAAGTAGTTAAGTCTGTCGATGATGAAAATGTAGTGTTGTAGAAGCCTGAAGAAAAGTTAATCAGGCACTTAAGACCATTGTATATGAGAGCCCATCTAGATGGAGTTCCAATCGACAAAGTGTTGGTGGATAATAGAGTAATTGTCAAAATTCTCCAATCCAAAACTCTGAGGGCAATAGGTAAGTTAGTGAAAGATTTGTTACCTACTGATATTAATATAAGTAATTTTGCTGGGGGATCATCTAAAGCAAGGAGAGTTGTCGCTATCCAACTTTAGGTTGGTTCAAGGTTAATGGGAACCACTTTCTTTGTGATTGATTCCACTTCTGACTGCAATGTGCTGCTAGGAAGGGATTAGATACACCTTAATGGATGTGTACCATCTTCTTTGCATCAAGCTCTAATTTTCCTAACCAGTAATGAGCAAGATGAGCAGAAGGGAATCAAGATTTACTAGGTAGATGCCGACCCTTTTATAGTAGATGTTCACAACATAGAGGTTGTACTCTATGATGAAGACTTAGGACTAGTGGAAGTAGTTGAAGATGAGGTTAAGTCTCAAGAGAAAAGCTTGACTAATGAAGAGTTCAAGCACATCATAGAAGAGGGGTTCAAGCAGATAGGCTAAGAATTTGCCAAACCAAGCTTGATGAAGAAACATAAAGAGCTTGTGATTGAGGAAGTAACAGAAGTTAGAGATGCAGATGCAAACATGTGAAAAAGACAGGCTGGATGAGACAACCACAACCCTTGTAATTAGGTCTACTTTTGTCAGACTTTTTAATTTCTTTCTTGCAAGTAGGTTGAAGTTTAAATCAATGCCTGTTTGTTCATGGGCAAAATGTGTAATAGACAATAGCCCTCTAAGTTATAAAGAGGTGCAATTAGAACATTTGAGAGCTGCGCCTGCCAAGTTAGATGACCTTAAAGCAGATGTTCAAGATCCTTTAGAGGAATTTAACTTGGGTACTAAGGCATGTAAAAGGCCAATTTATGTAAATGCTAGTTTATCTAATGAAAGTGAAGGCAAGTTGGCTGGCTGGCTGTTTGAGTATGTGAATTGCTTTGCTTGGAGCTATGCAGAAATGCTTAGTTTGGATAGGACATTAGTAGAATATAGGCTGCCAATAAAAAATAATTTCACCCCACATAAACAATCCCCAAGGAGAATGACTAATGATGTAACTTTGTTAGTCAAAAAAGAAATTTAGAGACTTTTAAAGGCAGATTTTATTAGGACAGCCAGATATATGGAATGGCTATCAAATATTGTGCCTGTCACAAAGAAAAATGGAAAATTGAGAGTTTGCATCGATTTTAGGAATTTAAATCTAGTAACTCCAAAAGATGGGTATCCTATGCCAGTGGCTGATTTGCTAGTTGATTCAACAGCCAAAAGCAAAGTCTTGTCATTCATGGATGGGCA